CTGCAGCATGGGGATGGCTAGGCTGGGTTCTTACTGAGAACTGGAGGCTTGGACCATTCCTGGTGTGGCTGGTAAGGATTTAGAGTGAACATGCAGTGTTTTTTCCTTGCTTCTTATGTCACCAATTTAAAATAAAAAGACTGTCTTGTCTGGCTTGCTTTTGTGTGAGGGCTGAACTGTGCTCAGGATACTGTTTTTCAGCTCCCTCTGCTTTGTGCAGTGCTGCACTCCCTCCTCATTCAGGCAGGATGCTGCAGGGCCAAGGCAGCATTCACCTCCCCTCCCACCTCGCCTGGGTCTTGGGATGGCTGTCACACAGCTGTCAGCCTGAAGGCCACAGAGGGGCAGGTCTGGGCAGGGCGCACTGCACACACATAGAGAAGTCCCCCAAAGGATGACTAATCGCCTAAAGGAAGGGCTTATCACTGTAAGGCAAAAGCCTTTTCTGAAACCCCAAATAAGGGTTAGGTATGGAGTTCTAGGGGCCTATAAAGTACTATACTGCCATTACTCCAGCTGGAGGAATCCAACTCCAGAGGATAAGGAAACTGCTGTTGATTTGTTTTCCTACAGCTGCCCAGCTTTGGGGGCACCTATACATGTGCAGGAGCAATTTCCACTCCTTTGCCTGTGTATGCATCAGGGAGCACCAGCCCTACTGCTGAGGCCTGGGTGAGGAACTTACAGAAGCTCACCAAGCCAGCAGCTGGTGAAAAGCTTTATTTCTGTTACTCAGTGCAAGGGCCACAGCACAGACCAGCTCCAGAAACCAGCACTGCACGCTCCTAGAATTATTTCACACGTTGCTTTTTCCTCCTCCTCTTGGGAGGAGCTGCTCCTGGCTCTACTCCCTCTTCTTGCTGTAGGCTCTCTTCAGTGGCTGCAGGCAGGGAGCTGCACACAAGAGCAATGACAGTTGAGTGGTTCATGCCACCTGCAACACCGCAGCCCTCTCAGCAAGAAGACAATGCATTCCAGGCAGCCAGGCAGCCCTGGGCCCACTTCTCCCCCATTTCCTGCACCTGGGGACAGCAGCTTCCTCCCCACGGCGCTCCAGGACAGCCACAAAGAAGCCCTGTGTGAGCGTATCTGCAGGAGAGGCGCGGAGGCAGCACTCAGCCCCTGGGAAGGTAGCAAGTCCTCGACAGGGCCAGGATGGGAAAGCATCCACTAGCCTGCAGAGGGGACAAGGGACAGCGCTGAGTCCAGCAGCAACACACAGAGCTACCAAAGGTAACAGACTCCCCAAGGCCTGTTCCTCCCCGGAAAGGAGCACCTGAAGGCCGATCCCTGCTCCTGCAGCACTGCGTGCACCACGTCCTCATTCTCCTCTCGGTGCACTGAACAGGTAGAGTAGACCAGACGCTGCACCGCCGGGAAGCGCAGCGCGTGGCTCAGGACCCTGCGCTGGAAGCCAGCCAGCGCCTGCAGCCGCTCTGCACTCGGGGCAGCTTCCTCCAGTGGCAGCCGGGCCACCATCCCTGCAGGGACAGCAGCCGTTGCCTGTGGGTCTGCCCACGGAAAACCCAGCTGAAGCCTCTAACAGACGAGATGGCTGAAGTCCCCACATTACCCGAGCCGCTGCATGACGGGTCCAGGAGGATGTATTTTACTTTGCTGTATTTGGGATCGTGGGGATCAACTGTCAGGAAGTCCTGCTGGGCCAGCTTGAAGCTGGTGACCCCTGCCCGCATCAGCATGGTGTTCATGGTAGCCAGGCGCTTGGTGTCCACATCAAAGGCAAAGATATGCCTGAAAAAGAACCCATCCACAGCCTCAACATGCATCTGCAGCTCCTCCCACATCAGCCCTGCAACCTTCTCCTCAGAACTGGGCCACCCAGTCTGTTCTGGCCCTGCCACAGCCTTGCACTCACCCCTTGTTCTTCAGGATGGCAGCCAGGTGGCTGGTTTTGTTCCCAGGGGCAGCACAGGCATCGATCACATGGGAGCCAGCAGAGGGGCTAAGGAGGAAGGCTGGCAAGCAGCTGGCCTGCAGGACAGGGCACAAAGAAAGGTGTGGGCTGCCAGCAGTTTCTGCAGTAGCCACTCCCGCATCCTCCTTGGGACACAGCAGTTGCTGTGGAGTCGCATGCTTGCACACCACCCAAACCCAGCTCTGGGTCTGGAGGCCTCTTCCTAAATGGTGGGAGCAACATCGCATGACCACAGCCCAGCTCCCTATGGGGAACTCCTACAGTGCATGCTAGAGCCACTTACCCCCTACCCACAGGCTATGAAAGCAGAGCTGAGGGGGATCCCCACAGCCTCAGCCTGTGCTCATAGCTTCTGCTTAAGCTGCTTAAGCTAAATGCTGCAGCAAAGCAGCTCCAAGCCCAGTCTCAGCATGTAGGAAAAGGCTGAGCCCCCGCTCCTGCCAGAGGTCTTTACCCCTGTGCCGCAGCCTCCAGTTTCCCAGCTCCCAACCTTGTCCTGCAGGATGATGTGTCCTGACATATAGAGCCGGTTGTCATGGAAGTCCGTCTGCGGAGGGAAAACGAGCAGCTCCGGGAGGTGAAGATCCAACAAGAATTTCTTCCCAGAAAGGATTTTCAGCTCTTCCACACTGCCCATACAGACAGAGGATGAGCACAGCTCAGCCTTATCACATTCAGCACCAGAGCCCTCCTCCAGAGTCCAGGTGCAGAAATCCCTGCACCCCACACCTCTGCCCAACATCATTACCAGGTAGCACCCAGAAACAGAAGGTAGGAGCACATCAGTGGACACCTCAACCACCAGCACCACCTCTCTACCACTCACCCACCGCACCCCACAGGGGGTCACTGCCCACCCACCCACGCTGCACAAAGAACCCAAACAGCACCACGCCCAGCCCACCTGCTCGCCCTGCCCAGGAAGGAATAGCCCTGGCGCTTGAAGAATTCCACCACATCATCCACGCACGTTTTCAGCACGTTCACCCGGACATAACGCGGCACCTGAGGGGCTGCAGGGTGCGGAGTCAGCCCCGGCCCCGCCGCGGTGGGCAGCGCCCGGCCCGCACCCGCTCACCTTCCGGCCCGGTTCCCGGCGCCGGTTCCAGGAGATCCTCGTTGCGGCTCACCCCGCGCCGCACCTTTAGCCGGGCCAGCTCGGCCTCCAGCCGCGCGCGGTGCCGCCGGGCCAACGCCTTCCAGCGGCCACCGCACTTGAGGCCCTTGCCGAAGAGCAGGTCGTACACCAGCACCTAGGGCAGGCGGTGAGCACCCGCTGCCGGGGAGAGCCGCAGCCCCCAGCCCGGCTCCGGAGCCCAGCACGGCCCGGCCCTCACCTTGGCCAGCAGCGGCGGCAGTTTCTTCTCGACGCGCAGCAGTGCGGCTCCGTCCAGCAGCGCCTCCAGCACCGGGCCGTAGCGCAGCGTCTCGGCCACCAGCGCGTACAGCTGCCGGGCGTGCTGCGGGGCGGTGGCACCGGGCGTTCAGCGCCGCCGCTCCGGACCCTTCCCCAACCACCTGCCCTCAACCCCGGCCCTGCTGCGCACCGGGAAGTCGCTGCCGTACACCAGGCTCTTGAGGCCTCCCTCGCCACGCTCCAGCCCGCCCAGCACAGCAGCGGCCGCACTGTACAGCGCCATTGCGGCGGCCGAGTCGTCCCACGTGCGCCGGCTAATGCGTCACTTCCGCCCCAAGCCACGCCCTTCCGCACCATGGAGCCCGCCTCCGTGACCCCGCCCCCTTTCCGCCGCGGCCCCGCCCCCTTTCCGCCGCGGCCCCGCCCCCCGCCCGCTCGCAGCAGCTCGGCTCGGGCAGCACAGCGGCAGCTTTATTCAGGACGGCGCCGCGGGGCCGCGCCCTACGGCTTGGGGGGCTCCTCCGCCGCGGGGGGGCCCTGGGTGTGCCGGCCGGCAGCGGGAGGGGGCAGGATGATGGGAGGGGAGAAGGGCCCTCGCTCCGGCCAGCACAGGTCCACGATGGGGTAGAGCTGGCCCTGGAACTCCGCCTGGAAGGTGTAGATGGGGCTGAGCTCGTCGGGGCTGTCGGCGTTGTAGAAGGTCAGCTCGCCCTTCTCGTAGTGCAGGTAGATCCCGATGCGCTGCGGCCGGGCGGTCAGCGGCAGCGTGGCCCGCGGGGTGCTGAAGGCCTCGTAGACTTTCCCTTCCTTGAGGCCGATGAGCCACACGCCGTTCTCGGGAGACTTGCTGAGCTTCCCTTTGCGGCTGACCGTGCCCTTGATGATGCCCACGCGCCAGTGGTTCCTGGTGCCCACAATCACCTCCCAGTAGTGCTGGCCGCAGGAGAAGCCCTTGCAGGTGAGGATGCAGTTGCTGGAGTCAAAACGCTTGGGGTTGCTGTCCCGGCGCTGGTACAGCCCGCACTGCACCACCGTGTCACCCTTGAAGAGTTCCAGCAGGGGATGTGCCGTCACCGGGTCCAGTTTCAGCATCTCTGGAGCTAAAAGGAAAGCAGGCAGACTCCAGGCATGCTGCTGGGAGTGCTGCTGAACCCGAGCGGACCGCTCAGACACCAGAGCAGGCGCTACCAGCATGAGATGCTGAACCAGCCAGTGCTCCTGGAGCTCTGCTGCAGGTGAGCAGAGCAAGGCAGAGGCCAGGACATGGGACGCTGGGTGGGCCGTCTGTCCTGGCAGCACAGCCAGAGCTGCCCATGCGATGCCGGCTGGGGAAGCTGGTACCTGGCAGGACGTGGCGGTGCAGCCGCTTCCACACGGTCATCTTGATGTCATCTTGGTGGAAACAAGGCTTGAATGATACGGGACTGAAGATGGCATCACCTGGGTGTAGGCTAGGAAGCTCTGACCTGAAAAGACAAGTGCAGCCATGACAGAGGTTGATGGGAACAGCATGTGTTCTTTTCTCACCTTCTGCTGCGTATGATGGAGCCACTAGTGTCTCTGCAGCTGCTTTTGCCCTGTTCTGGGGCTGCCTACATGGCTCTGGCTGTGGCTCTCCATCACAACAGCAATGTCCACAGAAGTGAGCGTGGCAGGCTGCCCCCGCAATGCTGAGGTGCCCGCTGACCTATGTGCTGCCATTCCCTTTGGTGCTGCATGCTGCTGGGTCCCATCACTCACCTGAACTGGTAGGAGCTGTATTTCTGGAAAACAAAGAGAAAAAGTTAGTCAGTGGTGATAGACTGACACAACAGCAGCTCCTCTGCATGGTCACAGCTCCACACATCCATGTCCTGGGTCAGAGAGGCCAAGGCTCTCCTCTCCTGGGAGATGAATTCTGATGGACAGCTCTCTGCCATCTGGGGAAGCCCGTGCTGGACAGAAGGCACCTCCATCTCACACCTCATGGTGTGCTAGCTATGTTTGGTGAGGGTTCTAGCTGCCCAAGGAAAGGCCCAGGGCTATGAGCAGTGGCTGATGGTGGGAGAGCCTGGCTGAGCCTTGCCGCCTTCCTGAGGCAGTCGCTGGTGGGCACACTCACACGGATGAAATCAAGCTGACTTTCGTTGCTGAGTGTCTCCAGAATGCTCTGCATCTCCTTCAGCCTCTCCAGGGTGTCTGATGTCTGCTTGACCTGAGACTCAATGGAGGCGATGAGCTGGGCCGCCTTCCCCTCCACACTCTCCAGGAAGGTGGCCTTCTCCTCATCGATGTACCTGTGCAGCTCCTCAAACTCCTTCTGGATCACCCACTTGAAGACATCTGCCTCATTCTGCAGGGAGACAGCAAGCGGCTCTGCAGCACTGCCTTCCTACATTTCTTGCACCCACTTTCCAGTTTCAGAGATGCCAGCAGCAACTTCTGCGTGTCCCAGCATGCTACCCTGCATTTGTCTTCCAAATAAAGAGCTCTTCACAGAGGCTGGATGTTATTTCACCCGGCTGCCCTCAGCACCGTGGCACCCCTGCCACATACCTCTCTCCACCCAGATTTTGTCTTGATGTCCCAACTAGCTTGATCAGAGCCTTGAAAGAGCTTTTGGATTCCTCTGCTACCAGGGAACAACCTGGGTCCTGCACTGAGTTGGGGGAATTCAAGCTCCAGTTTCATTTGGCTTCTAAGGAGCCCAGTTCAGAAGCTCAAGCCGCAAAAAGTGATACTGAGAGATTCCTTTGAGATGTCTACTGCATGGAAAATGGGTACACAGCCAAATGAAACATAAATTCATTGTGAAATTCTCAGCATTCTGACAGGGAAGCCTGCTCTGAGCAGGGTGTTCTTCATGTGTTATCATCTCCAAGGGTATGTGGGCAAAAAGCTCCTGCCAGGACACTCAGTGAGGTTATGTCTCCCCTGCAGAAAACCCCTCTGGCTTTGCCACCTGAGAGGGCTCCGTCACCTATCCTGAAAACAGGGCTATTTTAATCCCCAGTATTCCTGGAGAACAGGAATCTCGATAGGAACAGCCCTGCCTACTGTCCTAGGGAAGGGAGAAAAGGGAGAGGAATGGAGGAAGTGAGCTGAGGAGACCCAGAGCAGAAATTGCTCTGATGGTTGTGTGGGAGGCAAAGAGCTCTGGGAAGCCGGCTCCTTTGGCACTCACCGCAATGCGGATCTTGTTGTTGATGAGCTTGCTGAACTGTTCATCCAGGTTCCTCTTGCACCGGTGGACATCGGTTAGCAGCACAGACAGCTCCTCCTAGAAACACAACAGCTGTCTTGAGGAACCTTGTGGCATCCTGCTTGATCGCAGGCTCTGCCCCAGTGCCTGCCGGCCCCCCAAGGAGCCCCAAGAAGCCATGCCCTCCCAAGCTTCCTCTAAGCTCTATGGGGTTCTGCACATCCTGCTGATCTTTGGTTTGACCTAGAGGATTTGGGGGTGCCAGAGACAGAAGAGCACTCAGAGCACAGCCCCGAGCTGGGTGCTGCTGGCCAAGTACTCTTGCCAGGAGCACTGCAGCTCCACTCCACATCTGGCACCCCATGAAGACAACACTCCAGGTGAGCAGTTGCAGCCAGCATCAAGTCTGCAACGCTGTGTCAGTGCTGGTCCTGGAGCCTGGCTCAGGCAGTCACGTTCCTGGTGCCTCCTGCTCTTATCACCTTGGTGTCGGGAGCTGAGGGGAACGGTGGCCCTGTGCTTTTCCACTCCTTGGGCTTTCATGTGATGTTGGGCAGGGGACATCAGCTGTTTACTCTGCCAGGCTGGTGCTCCTGTTTTCCTCCCTCCCTGCTCTCCTTTGGCACCTTGCCTCAGCCCTTATCTCCAGACTCCCTTTGATGGTATATGTAAACAATCTTAAAAGGCCTCTATGACTCACCCTGATCCTCAGCTCCCCTCCACTGTGGTTCAGCCACTAAAAACATGTCTGCTCAGCCAGGGACATGCTTGGCTTGAGAAATGGCTGGCCCCAGCCCAGGGTCCCTGCCCCACATCTGCTTGTGCTATGGGGCCGTGCTGCCCACACTGGCACCATTTTCAGCCTCTTTACTGAAGTACAGGAGATGCTAATACTGCCATACTCGGGGCTGAGACTGCTACAGATGTCCTAATCCTCACCCCAGGGAGCCCTCGCCACCCCTGCCTGCCAACCTTCATCCGACAGTATGCAGTAGAGATAGGGGTGATCTTGTGCTGCTTGTGGTTGCCAATGGTGCCGCACAGCCCACAGATCACCTCTCGGTCAGCCTCGCAGAAGAGGCTCAGTGGATTGTGGTGCATTGGGCAGGACTCTGGGGTGGGCTCTGTCTCGCCCCTGCTCTGCAGTGCCTCAATGATGCGGGCCAGCGTGACATTGGGTGGGGAGGCGCTGCAGTCCACGGATTTGCGGCACACAGGGCACAAGAACTGCTCATCCAGCTCTCCAGACAGTGACAGCACACAGGACTTGCAGTAGGAATGCCCACACTGCAGCATCAGGGGCTCCTTGAAGACCTCCAAACAGATGGGGCAGAGCAGCTGGTCCTCCAGATTATCAATGCTCATCTTCCGAGCCATGCTGCCACCTTCCAGCAGCCCTAATGCAAAGAGCAAGGCAAACACAGATGAGCAAAAACAGAGCTCGGCACTTGAAGAAGTGAAGAGATGCCTCAAACACCTTTGTGTCCCATCAGCAGTTCAGACAGTTGTGAGCTTGTCATTAGACTCCACAGATAGCGTGAGATGCTCGTTTAAATCTGCAGTGTTCTGACAACAGGAGACTGCACATGGTCAGGCCTTCTGGCTCTGCCTGCAGTGGCAGAAGGCACCACCGAGCTGATCCTCATCCAGAACCTTTCCTTCCCTGGCAGCTGTGTCAGCCTGTAGCTCCCTCCAAGGGAGACCTGCCTGCATGCCAGGACTTAGCAAGGCTGGAGACAGAGCCAAGAAGGATCTTTGCTGAGAAGTTCTAGCACTGACTCTGGCCTGTATGAACTTCTACAGATCTCCTTGGTTCATTGTCTCAGCCCCTGCATGTCCTCAGGACTGGCATTAGATCAAGTGATGCATCTGAGCAAAAGCAGAATGAAATCACAAACAGCATTTTTATGTTCAAGACAGAGAGAAACCACACAATACAACTTGCAAAGTTAATTTTGACTGATATGAGGGTTGGGAGTTCGAGCCACAGTGTGCAGGGCTGTGACTTCAGCTTACCCCCTTGAAACAATGTGGTTTCTGATCACCAGTGTTCCACACTTGGCCAGCACCCACAAAAGACACAAGTCAAAATCTCTGCATCTCCCACCAGCCTTACAGCCACACGTGGCCATTCTATTTAAGAACTGTGTGGTTCATGCAACATTGATTTCCACACAGCATTGGTGGGACATAGCCACCAAGATCTAGAGTCCCATGGGCTCTGCTGCAGTTGGACAGGTTGGGCATCGCCAGGCAGACAAGCCTGGGTGGCCCAGCCCTGGAGGTGACCCTGCTCTAACTGTGACAGCATGACAGAGTGTGCATGCCTGCTCCTGAACAGAGGCTGGCAGAGAGCACACATCAGTGCCTTTGTGGTCTCCCTGCTCACATGGAAATAAATCTGAAGTCAAAGACTTGGTAGTTTCCCCGGGGAAAGGGGAGGCTGTGACCTGAGCTCAGCTTTTATCAGGCATTGCTTATAGGAGCTCAGCAGGGAATCAAGAAAAGCGCCATTGTCAGCCCACGAATGGTCAGCCACCCACACGAGACCAGCTTCAGCTGCCCCCACTGCTCTCAAGGCAACCCCGTTAGGTCCGACTCGCCACCACTCACGTGCCCTGTGCCGCCTCCTCTCTGCCCTGGCTCGGCTCTTCCTGGTGCACCACACCTGATGGATGTCCCTCGGCTTCTCCTGACTGAGCTGAAGAGTTCAGCTCCGTCACAAGGGCAGACGTGGCAAGCAGTGGGTCAGTGGCCCCTCAATGTGACAAGGCGCAGTGCTGGCCACCTGGTGACTGCTCCACTGCGTCTTCAACCCTGCAGAGGCTGCTCCAGGGTCAACGGCAGTGTGCGTAGCAGTGAGGCCGTGAGTCCTCCTCTCCTGGGCTGTGACGATGGAACCACACCTCCTCCTGGCCCCCCAAAGGCTGACCAGCGCTCTGTGCACCAGTACAAACACACATCATATGACTACAGAACCTTGATAAGAGATGAAGGTGTTTGCCTGGCTGAGGGGTGGTTTCGACGAGTCCCACTCTGGTTTCAGTCATCCACACCACTTGGATCAACAGAAACATTTGCACTAGAATGCTTTGTTATCAACTGAAACTCTTCTTTGGTTGAAAGAGTGTTGGTTTTTTTGTTTGTTTGTTTGTTTTTGACTGGCTGGTTGGCTGGAATTACTTCATTGTTTTGGAGAAGACAGAAGAAGACCCATAGTAATAAAATCACAGAATAATAGGAGTTGGAAGGGACCTTTGGAGCTCCCACAATCCCCTAAAGCAGTCCTCTGCAGTACGCTGCACATGACAGTGTCCAGACAGTCTTGAATATCTCCAGAGGAAACTCCCCCAACTCTAAGCAGCCTGTTCCAGGGCTCTGGCACCCACAAAGGAAAGAAGTTCTTCCTCATATTTGCACGGATGTTGCAGATTTTCCCTGTTGCCCCTTGTTCTGTTGCTGCACACCACAGAAGAGGAGCCCGGCCCCATCCACTCAACTCCCACACTTGAAGCATTTACAAATAGTGATGAGATTTTCCCCCCCCCCAGCCTTCTTCAGGCGAGCAGCCCCAGGGCTCTCAGCTTTTCTTCATACGGGAGACGCTCCATCACTAAGAGCCCCGAAGCATTACTGCCCCCATCTGAGGCACGGCAGCGCTCAGCTCCTGGGGCCGCACGGACGCTTTCCCCAGCGGGCAGCACACGAGGAGGCCACGGCACTCCCTGAGCTCCATCCCCAGAACACCTATGAGGAGAGGCGGGCCCGAGCCCGGAGGGGGCCCTCAGCAGCCACACGCGGCGGAGGACTCGGAGCTCTCTGCAGGCAGCGGGGCCGGCGGTGGGGCACGGACCGTGAGCTCCGCGACCCGAGCGCGGCCCCGGCGGGACTCCATCACCCAGAATGCACCGCGAGCCTCGCGCCGCTCCCGCCTCCCATTGGCCAGGAGCCGCGCAGAGGCGCGCTCTCCCTCCCCAGGCGCCGGCGCGTGGCTTTTTAGCGGCGAGGCGGAAAGTGGGCGCTCCTCGGAGCGCGATTGGCCGAGGCTGCGGCGCGGCGCGGGCGGTTATTGGCGCGGAGCTGAGGGACGGGACCGGGCGCGAGGCGCGGCGGGCGATGGAGGCGGGCGGCGAGGCGCTGGCCGGGAGCGGGGTCTCGATCTCCTTTCGCTTCCGCTGTGCGCTGCGAGCCCGCGGCCTGCAGGACATCAGCGGCGACGGCGGGGTGCTCAAGGAGCTGCTGCGGCCCGGCACCGGGCAACCCGTGCCGCCGGCTGCCACCGTGGCGGGTACGGTCCCGGTCGGACCGGGCGTGGCGGTGCGGTGCGGTGCCCCGCGGGGCTGCAGGCTCCCCGGCGCCGTGCCGCGGTGCTGCTCGCTCCGTCTGGCCCTGCGGTAGCACGGGAACGAGCAGCCGAGCCCTCGGAGGCTGCCGGTGCCGTTGTCCGCCTCTCCTGGCCGCCTGGCCAGGCCCGGGAGCCCGTTGTGCAGCGCCCTGTTAGCATCAGATCGGACGAACTTCCAGATGCTGTCAGCATACAGCAGTGAGGCTTTCTGCTTCGGGGCTGTGCTGTGCCTTATTGGTTTCTGCAGTGCGTGGGGCAGCCTCTGCCACTTCTCGCAGCTGACAGATTAAACGGAAGGGCGTCTTGACCTGGAGCGGAGCAGGGCTTCCGGGACCCAGCCGTGTTCACAGTACAAAGAAGTTTAAGCTGGAAGCGGTTCCTGTGCAAGGGCCTGATGAGTGTCAGGGGAAGCTCGTTATGGTTTTTCTCCTAAATGAATGACAACTGGAGTTGGCCCTGCAGCACTCAGGCAATAGCAGAGCTCAAGGCCTACATTTTCTCCTTTGTTTTTTTTTTCCTAGGGCTCAAGCTGTGCTTTGAGAACAAGTTTGTTAAGTCCTTCTGCAGATAACTGGAGCATTTTAATTTCTGTGGCTTAAGTTCCCATTCTCCTCCTGCCTGCAGCTCACTAGTTCTTGACATAAAATTGCATCTCTTGTTTAGATAAGAATAAAGGCTTCCAAGCAGCTGTTTTATCTGGTGCTGATGTGACCAGGTTTTTGTTAGTGGTTTGTGCTCCCTCTGCTGTTTTATTTAAAGCATCAGGAAAGAAAAAAGAAAGCATGGTTGCAAAACTGACTGTGAGAGTGCTAGTGACAGCATTGTTACCAGACACAATAACTAAATCTTGCTGTTCTCTCCTACCTGCTCCTTGTTCTGGGTTGTGCAGTGAAGTACTCTGGATATCTGGAGCATATGGATAAGCCCTTCTGCACAAACTGCACCAAGAAGCTCCCGAGGCTGATGAAGCTTGGAGAAGGTAGGTTTGTCCTGGATCTCTCAGGGCTATAATGAGTATCTGTTAAGGCATGTGAATTTAAATGCTGTTTGGTATCTTGAGGATTTTCTTGAAATCTCTTAAGCTTCTGAATGGAATCAGAAAGCCTCCTCCTTGTAGATGGAGGTCAATCCAGAACTGATCACACAACGTGCTGGCAATGAGCAGCAGGGCCCATGCTGTTGGTGGCAGTGTGGGTGGTTTCTGCTGCTGTCCTGAAGCAGTTTCTCATCTCAGTGTTATTAAATCACCCAAGAGGAGTGATTTAACAACAAGAGGAGATGAGGATGTTTGCTGTGTGCTTGTCCCACAGCAGATTGCCTCGTTAATCCAGAGATGAGTTGTGCAGCAGTGTGTGCCTTGAGTTGTAACAGTGGGGAAACTCACCGCTGTATTGATCTGCTACCTGGGATTTCCTCTTAAAGCCTAGAGGAAAATTCTAATTTGGAGCCGGAGATTGGATGCTGGGTTTGGGATTCTCCTGACCTTCTGTTTCTTGTTGTGACAGACATTACGCTGGGGGGTCTGGAAATTGGTGTGCTCACGATGAAGAAGGGAGAGGTGGCAAGGTTTATCTTCGCACCAAATTATGCCTACGGCCAGCAGGGTTGCCTTCCTCTGATCCCCCCAAATGCCACGGTCTTATTTGAAGTGGAGTTGATAGACTTCCTAGACTCTGCTGACTCCGACACGTTCTTTGCGTTGACAGCTGTGAGTTGCTTTAATAAGGCTTGGGGAAAAAACCTGGAAGATAAACATTGCTGTCTTTCCCTTCAGTTGCTGAGGATCATGTGTTACATATGTTTGTTTAATGCAGGAACAGTTATCCAGACTTTGGGCTGCTGGATCCGTGCAGATGCAGACATGTGCCCTTTAAAGCTTATCCTGCACGCCTTGCCCTGTTTACAACCCAGTGCAGGGTGAGGAGCTGGGTGCTGTCTTTGTTTGCTGCACTGTAGTGGAGTCAGTGAAACAAGTTGCATTTATTTTCAGTTTTACCAGAAACCTTAGGGTTTCACTAGAGGGCATCAGCTTCCTGGAAGTTCTCTGCAGTGTCAGAACAGTACCTAGCTGTCTGTTTAAAAACAAAGTTCTTGTGAAGTCTGGAGCATTAAAGTGTCCCCCGCCCCCCACCCTTTGTCTTTGCTTCTTGGCTGCTTTCCCAAGTGCTCCTTCACTGCCCTCCCTCCTCCCTGGTGAGTTACCGTGTTATTGTTAATTCTCCCTTTTCATGTAAGAGGCTTTGGGTTGTAGTTGTGGGTCAGTGATTGGGGCGCATGCTGCAATGCTGATGGATGGAGGCCCTCCTCATTCCCTCACTGCCCTTGCAGAGGCTGCTTTTTCCACACCCAGGCCTGAGATCAAACCATCTGTTGCATGGGGGAGAGCTTACGCCCTAATTTGCTAACTCACCCCTCTCTGGGAGCTGATTCAAACTTCAATATGCAGGGGACAACCTGCCCCTTTTTTGTTGCTGTTCTTTTTTTTCTTTTTCTTTTTTGCTCCTTCTTTGCTGCATCGATGTCCTGAGCTCTGTCAGGCTGGTCATGGAGCCACCCAGGGTGCTGTTACAGCAATGCAGCTTTCCCTGTTGTGCCAGGAATATGTTTTTGTCTTAGCTGTCTGTTCTGTGCTAAGCAGTTGAGAGAGCTGGGCAGAATTTAGGAAGAAATTCCTGCTTTTTTTCCTGCAGGGTCCCTTTGCTTCCTGACTTGTTTTGTAGTACTTCTTACCAAGAGTTACCAGCACAGCAGCAGTGCAGAAGGCTGCTGTGTGTTGGTGACCTGGCTGGATGCTGAAGGGCCTTGGCAACGGTGCAGGACTCTTCTGCCTGTTGTCTCTGCTTGATTTTTTTTTTTTTGCTTGAGCTGAAATTCAGGTATTTCTTTATACAGGAGCAGCAGGATACGTTTCCTCTACAAAAGGTGTTGAAAGTGGCAGACGTGGAGAGAGAGTTTGGCAATTATCTCTTCCGTAAGCAGTGCTTCGAGGGTGCCAAAGACAGATACAAGAGGGTATGACACCAGAAGAAATGTATTTTCCACCCATGGCTTGTCAAAGTGGTGATTTGGTGCTAGCTCACTGTAACAGATACACTTCAGAGATTACAGAACTTCGTCATATATTCAGGCATAGTTCATTATTTAAGAACTGATCTGAGATGCTTGCTGTTGTATGAGCAGCAGTAGTAAATGAAAGAGGAGGACAGCTGGCAGAAATCTGCAGGCCCTTCTTTCAGGCCTGCTCCCTTCTGGCCTCCCAGCTGGGAACGAGAATACTTGGGGTTGGAAGAAGCCTCTGGATTTTGCCTAACCTGTGCTCAAGGTCAGCTGAAGCAGCAGGTTGCCCAGGACCATGTCCATCTAGGAACATCTCCAGGGATGGAGACTCCACAGCCTGTGTAGGGAGTACCTTTTTACTTTGCTGCCTTCTAGTTCCTTGATGGGTTGCTGCAGTCTTGTGACTGAGCTGGCTAGTCATGCTGATAGGCTTGCAGTATATTGAGGAGTTTGATTACCTAGTTAAAAATAATAAGAGAAACATGGATGTAGCTGGCTGATTGGGATGGATTTCTCATGGTCGATTTGTTGTGTGCTAGTTCTTTTCCCTGTCTGCTCAGGCGTACTCCATCCTTGGTCGCAGCCCTTCCAGCGAGGCAGAGCTGTGTCAGATTGATGCTTCCAAGTTGCTGGTGCTCCTGAATCTCTCAATTACCTGCCTGAAGCTGGAATGTCCTGCCCGAGCTCTGATGTATGGGGAAAAAGCCTTGGAGATTGACAAAAGAAATGTCAAGGCGCTGTTCAGGTGTGGCCAGGTGGGCAAAGATAAATTCCTCTGGTAGCCACATCAAGCAGTGATGACTGGCTGTGACAGTCTGACTGGCTGTGTAATAAACTGAGGAGAGCCACTAACTTCTAGGCCAGACCTCCTAAGCTCCTGCAGCAGTTGAGGTGATTTGTCAGCATCTGAAAATCTGCTTCTCAGTAAATCTGTCACACAAATCTCCTCTCGAGGGATTCCTGAGATACCCATATCTGTCTCTGAAATGTTTGTAGTTGTACATATCTCAGTCCTGAAGAGCAGCAGCAAATCTATATTTATCTTTTAATGCATCTGTCTTCTTTCAATGGCAGGCTTGTCTCTGCATGGCAGAATACAAAAAAGCTCGGGACTTCCTGATCAGAGCTCAGCATATAGAGCCGTTTAACCACGATATTAACAACGAACTGAAAAAGCTGGCAAGGTGAGAACTCCCCTCCATTGCTGTGCTTAGACACGCTGAAAACATCCACTGGAAACTACTAAAATACTCTAGTGTTTGTTTAAAAAATTAGTAATAATCAAGAGCCAAAGGTGTTGGGTAAGTGACTTGGGAAAATGCAGAGCGTCTTTTATTGTGGGAAAGGCTGATTCAAGGCTTTGCACACAGAGTGGTTGCAGGTGATATGTGAGAAGCTGTATTCATTTTTTCCGTAGGGTTTCTCAGAGGGAGGGTGTGATCCTCTCCATCTGAGTTAAGTGGGTCAGGCTGATGGCAGGGAGGTGGGGGGCTGCTGAGATGCCTCAAACCCAAGGAGTAGGCTAGCGCTCGAGATCGTGTTCTGAATTAATACGTGATTTTCATTTCCTTTATGATGTGTCAGTTGATTACAGCACCTTTTTGCACTGCAAGTGCTTAGCTGTACAATGCTACAAATACCTTCCCATCTGTGGGAAGATGTTAAAATTGAATTTCTTGCTGCCTTGGTGGTAACAGATGAGCAATCCCAAAAGCAGACTTTCCCTTTGCCCACAGACTGAGTACAGCACAATCCTACCAGCCTTAGTCATGCCCTGCCCCCACAAAAACATGACTAACACTGGCCTCCATCCTCACACTGTTCTTTTGCTTGAAACTGGCAAAAGCAGTAGCTGGTTCCCATAAGTGTGTGCTGTACTTCTGGCACTGTTCATGGACACAGAATGTGAGGAAGTCCTCAGCTTCAGAGATTCCCAAAGCAGCCCTTGAATCGGAGCCCTCTTCTTTTGTGTTGCTGCTAGGCAATAAGGCTTGTAGGGAGCAGTAACATCTCTAATAGGAGGAGTTGATATGGCTTGAGCCAATCTGTAGGCTAAGGATCTTCACCTGGTAACATTCTGGTAGATGGCTGGGCTTGCACGTGCCCTATATATCTGAGTAGACTTTAATACCCTGTGAGGAAACCAAGTCTTCAAATTTGTTCTGTTACATCAGAAATGTGGAGAGCCTGAAATTAAAATTAGCTGCTGGTCTGAAAATGTGCAGTAAAATACTTCTATTGAACCTCATTTGTCCCCGGTACCTTGCTACCAAACTGCTAGGTGAACACCTGCTTATCAGAGTTCTGGATGGCTGGGTAGATGGAGTAGTTGGAGGCTTGGCTTGTGGGTGGTGTCCAGGTGCAAGAAGTGCAAGAAGACCTGATCCAAAAGCCTCAAACATTCTCTTAGGTTCATTCAAAGTATGTTGGCTGGTAGGAGAAAAGTCTGGCTAATCACTGAGCTTCTTCTGCCAGGAAGCAACAAGGCATTCTGCCTTCAGGGAAGCAGCAGGAAAGCTTGTCAGCTCAGACTCTAGAGACAGCAGCAGGTACTACTAACGTGTGTTACAGTGAGCTGAGTGTGCACTGAGCGTCTCTTGTCTTGGAGCTTCTGCTTTGCTGCCAGTTAAAATTGGTGTATTTCTTGCTTTTACAATGACAAAAAATGGAATTAATATAAAATAGATGGAGACAACAGTACAGAGTGTTGTTAGTCATGACGTACCTCAGTCTGGATCTCTGTAACGTTACCAAAATGCCTTGCTTGTGAAAGCCTGTGATGTGATCTGACAGATGCTTCAGAAACTGCATATGAATTGAAATTCTGTTTTAAGAGCTTTTTACTTCCTTACTGAATGCACTTAAACTTTGCAAAAAGGAATGTTGTTTGTTAATCAACAGCTACCTTCAGCTGCATGAACGGAACTTTGGCAAGAACCTGCTAACAGCTAAGCTGGGCTCTTGGCAAAGTTCACCTTCACCAGAGAGAGACAGGCAGAGTCCTGGGCGAGGACCTTATGGAACTTGTCTGGTATCAACTGCAGTGGTACAAATTCTGATGCTGCCTTTGGTGACTTTTTAGAGGACACGGTTTGTATCAAATATGAAATAACATAGAGTTGTTCTGACATCTGGCTTGAAATTGTGCCTCTGGGTGAGGAATTCTTGGATTCCTGCTTTGGTAGGCTTGTGAGCATGTGTCATCCAGTCTAGGCGCACATCACTGATCTTCTTATTGTGGGCACTTACGACAACATCTGCCTGCAGGACTTCACAGCAGAGATGTCATGAGCTCAAGTTGCACTGAATGATACCCTTCAAAGTTGTGGACACACAGGTAGTGTTCATGGGGGGCTGAGAGAGCATTAGCCAGCACCACCTTCTGCTGTTTCTGCTGTTGCAACAAAAACTTTGCTTTTGACCATATAAGGTAGCAGATGCAGTAAAGCTGTCTTTTGGGCAGCCATTGATCCCTGGGGCAGTGCTGAGCTGAGTCACCTTCTGCTCAGAGATTCCTCACCAGTGAGGCTTCGTTGCCTGCAAGGTGGAGTGTGGGGTGCGGGGACGCCGTGCTGCTTGCTGCCACTGCTGGGGCTGCCAGAAGCAGTGATTCACGTGGAGTGGTCTGCATAGCTTGTGCCATGTAAATGGGATGCTGGCAGGATGCATTTGTCCTACTATCTACATAGTCTGGACACGCAGCCTACTGTCCCTTCCACGTCCTCTGCCTGGATTTGTGGGGTCAGTGGTAGATCACCATTAGCAGTAGTTTGCTGAACAGTGGAGCACCTGCATTGTGTCCTGCTGGGCCCTGTAATGGCTTGCATGAGGAACGGTGCAGATGATGGGCACCACAGGAGGGCTTTGAGTACAGGTGGGAGTTCTGCATCACCGTGTGCTTGCAAAGATGCTTGCAGAAAGCATCTGACTACCAGAGGTCAAATGCTCCTACTACCTAATAGATACCAGCAGAGAAGAGGCTCAGGGTCTGGTGATAAGACAAAATTCATGTCATGGCAGAAAGAAAGGGGGGGGAGGAACTGCTCCCTCTTCCAGCAGCACTAGGCTAGTTGCCTTGAAAGTCTAAACATGTATGTATTTTTTTCTGACTGTGCTGCTGATGGTTTGATGGGCAGTCTGCAGCTCTCAACTCCGTATTTGTGCTCTACTTTCCAGCTGCTACAGAGACTACTTGGACAAGGAGAAAAAAATGTGCTGCCGAATGCTTGCTGCTCTCAACTCTTCTTCGTGACCAGGAATAAAGGTACTCAGCTCCTGAAAAAGTTTGAGGTCTCCTAAAGCCATGCAATTCTTGGGCTGGGCTTTGTGGTGGGGAACACACTTTTCTTCTGTGTAGGAGGATTTTGGAGGCATAATACAAGTTAATGAGAATACAGAGAGGGGAAGGGCAGGATGGCAGTGTGAAACCCAACTGTACCGTGTGCTTGGGGGATCCTTTCTGCCAGGCAGGCTAGAATGGGACGGGAACCTGAAACTGGCAGCACTTGAATAAGTTTATTTTTTTTTTCGTTTCCTGTGCTGCTCATCCCAGTTATTCCTTGTCAGAGCCAAGGGCAGAAATAGCTGTGTAGTCTTGTTTCTCTGCCAATTAAAAGAAACAAAAAAAAAAAATTGTTCCTGTCAAACTTAAAAATTGGATTTCCTCCTCCCCTCCAGCACTCCTGTCTGGAGCTGTTGGAATGCCTTACTTCAGAAAAACCTAAATATTTTATTTCTGGGTTTTGATTTTTTGCTTTTTAAAAATTTTTTTTTTTTTTAAATATTAAAAAACCTGTTTGTATAGAATATTTCAAATAGGTGTTTTGGACTCTTTAAAAAGCCTTAAATCCTGAAGCAAAATTGACAGGTTTATAAATGCACAAAGGCTCTTTGATCATTGTTTTTTTTTCTTTTTTTTTTTTTTGTCAAAACCTTTGGAGGGGGTGCAGGGGGGACTGGAAGTCTGCGCTGGTCTCTCGCCTCGGGGTGAGCCCTAGGGAGAGGGTTGTGGAAAATGACAGCAGCCTTCTGTCAGAAGGCATCAGCAGCTCGGGGCCGTCAGAGGTGGCTGCCATTCCATCTCAAACAATGCAGGCAGTATCCTTCTTCCTTCTGAAAATGAGTATGAGCAGCTTTTCCATCACTGGCAGCGCTGAGCGCAGGATGCAGCTGTGCTGTTTTAAGGTCAGCTCTTTCTCTTGTCTGTGGCTGCGAGGAAGCCACCCCGTATTTGAGGGAGAGGTCTGACTGAGCGGCTGCTTCCCAAAGCAGTGCATCCCCTCCCAGCTGGATGTGCTCCTTGCTGCAGCCCTCTCTCTCCTGCCCTCCGCTCGTGGCTGCTTGTTGCGAGCTGCCTCAGCGCACAGATCATTCTGCTATGGGTTGGGGATGAGACTGTCATCTCTGCACCGCCCCAGGCTGTGCTTTGGGATGGGGGGCTATGCCCGATTTGTGCAGGAAGCCCACAGTGTGGGTTTGGCAGGGAGACTCTCAGAATTCTAGAGATTCTGTAGATACTTGCAGTGTGAAGGCCTGCAGGACTTGCAGAGATGGGGAAAGGCAAAAGGGAAGCTTAAAGATGAAGCCGATGTGCCCATCAGCCAGATTTTCTCCATGGCTTCTGCTGATGCAGCCCTTCCCTGGAGCTCTGCCTCCTTTCACAGCTGTGTGACAGCTGTCAGTCAGATTGCTGGCCTTTGAAATTAAGTTTAGTTGAAGCATTTTGGTTTTTTTAGTCTTCCAGACAAATTTACATCACTGAGACCTACATAACAATCCACTGTTAATTCCTTGTGAGAAAGATCTCTTTTGCTGGAGAAAAAAAAAAGTCATTACGTATTCAGAGAGGAGCACAGCAGCTCCTGCTCCAAAGGCACAGCTAACTATCCAGAACTGAGGCAGAACATTCCTTAGTGTTTTCTGACAAGTTTGCACCAGTTCAGTTTAGGGCACAAGCTGTTCTCAGTCGCTCTGGCAGCCGCCTTTGATCCGTGCAGTGAGCGGATGGGCAGTGGGCTGTGCTGGGAGCTGGTGGCTGATGATCGGTGGAATCGCACCGCTGTGCAAAACCTCTGTGTGCAGCGGTTGGCAGGTGGTGCTGAGTTGGTCTGGCCCCACGGCCACCTTACCAGCTACATGACTCACAGCTGGAATTGGGCATTTGCTCCCCCTGACTCCCTGCGGTGTTTTGCTGGCTCAGCTCTCCTATCCAAGGGGCTTTGCTGATTTTTTTTCAGTGAGATTTGCAGTGGCTGCTTTGGTTCAGGGACAAATGGGTTCATTCGTCTGTGGTGGGTAATCCAGGGCTCTGCTGTGTTTTCCATAATACTGCTCAGAACCAGACACACCTGAATACAGTCACTCTGCCCAGTATTTCTGTCTCTCTCACTGTAGAGTCTATTCCTGGAATTACATCTTGCTCAGAGCACACTTTCTTCCTCTTTAGTGGAATTTCAAGTCAGAAGAAGCATCTTTGGTGAAATGAGGCCACCTGTGATGCTTCCTAGGGGAATTCACAAATACTAAGCAGTAGAATCAGAAATATAAACACTTTCTTAAATCTTTCCTTCAGTAGTCCCCTGCAAACACAGTGTTTTGGGGTCTTATGCCTGCCCTTCTTCAGGTCTGAGCTATTTGCTTGCCTCTATCTTCTGTAGTGCAGCATAAATCAAGCCAGGTTACCTGGCATGGCTGAAAGCCCCCTTTGGAGCACCCTAAGCTGGATGGACTGAGATCACTGCCTCAGTAGATTTCTTTGTTGCAGTGGAAAACGCAGGCTTTTGGTGACAGGCTTTTAAACGCCACAAGATAATGGAACTTGTCTTTGTGCAGTTGTGGTCCTTCCAGATGAAGAGAACTTAATCATGAGATGCGGGTACGGATTTTGTGGAGATGCCTACATCCTCATAGCAAGTCTATGGGAGTTTAATCCCAAAAAGACTTCTTTTAATTAAAGGTGGGCCAAGGCTGAAAGCGTGCTTCTAATGTGTATCAGAATTCCAGCAGACAGGAGAAGTGGTCTCAGTAGCTGACAGCATACGGGGAATTGTTCCAGTGAAAACAAACAATACTGAAATCATGGCAGGAAGCTATGAGGTCGAACTTGAGACTGCTGCGAACAGCAGGATCTAGCAATTCTGAAGCCATTAATTGGTGAGAATTGGCTGCAGAACTGGGGCTGTGTCATCAGGTAGAAGAGACTATAATTGGAGTTAAAAATCAGCAGCAGTTGCTAGTTAAACTGACCTAATAGTCTAAAAGAGACTGGCAAATAAACTGAGGCATGTGTGCATAATAGAGTCGCAGCTCGTGCCTTGGGGAGGCTCCAGACTTTGAGCAGACAGCAGCTTGCTCCTTCCCCTCCTGCTCTCCCCTATCACAGAGCTGAAGATCTAAGATGTGCCTCCTGCTGATACTGTCCTTGCCCACTGTGTGAGGCTGAACAGCAGAGAAACAGCAATTTTGCTTCTCTAGAATACACACACTGCTGTAGCACTGGGATGTCCTGTGCTGCAAAGGAAACTGTTAAGCACTGCTTTATGCTGAGCATTGCTGGAGCTAGTGCAGAGGCTTGGAGGATGACTTCAGTGAGCATTCTCCTTGCTAAGCAGAGGGAGGAGGAAAGCTTTAAAAAGGTGGTTGGGTATTCTGGGATGCTTTGGTGGGGGTTTTGTCTGGAAGTTTTTACCCCCCTCTGGGTCTTCCTTCCTGTAGCATCTTCTTCTTTTTTTAATTTCAGAGGAGTTCTGCAGTTTATATCTGCAGTAATGCTCATCTCCCAGAGAGGTACCACAGCTATGCTTGGGCCTCTTCTAGAGACCAGCAGTGGGGAAATGATTCTACTGGCTCCATGCACAAGGTATGGAGGGAACAGAGGACAGGGACCAGAAGGAAACAGCTGCATGCTCCTGTGCTCTTTGAACCCTGGTAGCACAGGAGGGCTCGGTTACAGAGGTCCTTGGTGAGGGCACTTGGTGTGCTGGGTTGGTGTTGCCTGTGCTGGCAGGAAGACCTGGGCAGTGTCTTGCAGTGCCCTGCTGTGCCCGTGTTCCAAGGTGAGGTGGTGAAATTCAGCCTCTACAGAACGGTGCCTCAAGGCCCAGCCCAGCACTGTCTGCCCTGAAACTTTGTGAGCATCTAAAGCCTGGTGTTTCGCTGTGTGTGCTCGACCCTGGGCCACCTGGTAAGGTAGGAAGGAATGCATGGCTGTGCTCCTCAAGCTCCTGTCTATCTGCTCTGCACACTTACTCTAGAAAGGGATGGCTGAGCCCTGCTGGATATTCCTATTCTGCACTTCTTTTTTATTACTTTAGCCAGCAGCAGGAAGATAAAACGCACTAAATTGTCTGCTGCTGTTACAGATCAGTGGATAGTGAAAAAGGTGCTGGATTCTTTTCATCATATTTATCATGGAGTTAAAGTTCGAAGAGAATGGACAATGTGTAGGATGTGAATGTCTTTACACAGGAAATTTTATTTTTGCAGAATCTTCAGAGTTAGTGCCCTTCAATTCCAGCAGCAAGGAGATGGAGGAGCTTAAAATAACTGCATCTATGAAACATGACTTTTAAAGTCTCCTTTCTCTACCTCTCATGTTTCAGTTGTACAAAGCACGAGTAAAAATGTTTTGTTACCGTGGCGAGTATAAAGGCAAATAGGATAAACCTACCTAAAGCAATTAGCAACCAAAGAAACAGATTTTGGATGGCAGCCTGCTGCAGGTGCCAGTGACTCGTGCCTGAGGTCAGATTACTGCTTAATTGTGCTGTTGTTGAGGCACAGAAGCCCCCAATGCCACTTAGTCCTTGTAGCAGCTCTCCCTGGGCTCTTGCCATCCCATACAGGCACAGCTGGCGTGCCTGGCTACCAGCCCTGCTGATCTGGAGCACTTCAGACACATCTTTATCCTATCTGTTTCTTTTAATCTTACATCTGGGGATTTAAATGTGTCATGCGCATCCTTAGACAGCAAAACAAAGGATCCTTTTCCATATTCTCTTGTGTGCTGTTCTTCTAGTCTGGTTTCTTGGAGAAGCATTTGGGCGTGGAGATCTGAGCTCAGAGGATGCTTTTCACTCCTTTTGTAGTTCAGTGGTAAGTTATCCTGAGCAGAAACACAAAGGGGCTTAATCCTCTGCGTGGCTGTGCTGCTGTACCCACATGTGCTGCCTGCACCAGGGCAGGTTGCTGTCATTGGTGTCCCGCTGTCTCAGGACTGGTGGGGCTCACAGTGCAGCAGAGGGTAATTCCAATACAAGAGAAGGG